CGGCATCCGTCAGGGTGTGGCTGACGAAATAGATCGGCTGTTGAACTTTTTCTTCTTCCCTTAGCAGCACCGCGCTTACCGTGGCTGGACTGACCGCCACGTATAAGTATAGGATGTCTCCTACGACTGGCCTTGCCAGTGTTGGGAGTTGAGCCAGGTGTTCACGGAGCTGCTGAAAGGCTGACTTTTGTTCGTCTCCCCATTCAATGCCTTTTGAATTTTGGAGCTTCAGCGCCTTGAAGAAAGGGAGCCCTTTGTCTGAGGCTCGTGAGATGAACCTGGACAAGGCAGCCATTCTCCCGGCTAGACGCTGAATATCCCTTTTTGTCTTCGGCTCGGGGAGGTCTAAAGCAGCTTGTACTTTGGCGGGGTTTGCATCAATCCCCCTCTTGCTGACCATGAAGCCGAGGAACTTGCCTGACTTCACGCCGAAGACACATTTCTTCGGATTCAGCTTCATTTTGTATTTTCTGAGGGTGGCGAAGGTTTCGGCTAGGTCCGTGACATGATCTTTTTCTTTTATGCTTTTGACGATTGAGTCGTCAACATAAACCTCCATGTTTCGGCCTTTTTGCTCGGCGAAAACCTGATCAACCAACCTCTGATATGTTGCCCCCGCATTTTTCAATCCGAAGGGCATCATTCTGTAATTGTACAACCCGGAACTTGTTATGAACGCTGTTTTAGCTCGGTCCTCGGGGTGCATGAAGATCTGATGGTATCCCGAGAATGCGTCCATGAAACTGAGCAGAGCATGCCCGCTTGTCGAGTCGACCAGTTGGTCGATCCTCGGCAGCGGATAGGAGTCCTTGGGACATGCCCTATTCAGGTCCGTGAAGTCAACGCACATCCTCCAGTTACCATTTGCCTTCTGAACCATTACAACATTGGCCAGCCACTCCGGATACTGACAGGGTTCAATGAACCCAGCATCTAGGAGCTTATCGACCTCAGCTGCGATGTTCTGGTTCTTTTCGGCGGAGTAGTTCCGCTTTTTCTGCTTAATGGGTCGACTGGAGGGGTCGACATTAAGCCTATGGGAGACGAAGTCCGGATCAATCCCGGGCATTTCTGCGGCTGAGAAGGCGAACACGTCTCCACTGGCCCGTAGGAGTTGGACGAGTGCCGCACGGGTGTTTGGCTCCAGTGACGACCCGATGCTAACACATCTGTTCGGATCTCCTACGGTCAGTTCTATTGACTCGGTCAGGTCATCCGTTTCCATGCTCTTAGAGTTGGATTCCTCGAATTCCGGCCTGCTATCAATATTAGCAGACTTTCCTGACCGCGGCTGGCCATCAGAGTCGTTCGGCTCTGAGGCGGAGTCAGCCTTTTGGCCCCCATCAGATTTCTCGTTGTCTGGGGCTTCATTAGCCGAAACGTCTGAGCCTCTCGGCTTTTTGGCGTTTCGGTCCCGGTGCTTTTCCTCCCCATCGCCACGGTCGCCTCGGCGAGACGTGGATGGCTTGAGGTGATTGCATCGGCGGGCTTCTTTTTGACTGCCCTTTATTTTCTCGGAGCGTCCCTCGTCTGAAACGTATATCATGATTTGATGATACGTGGAGACGACTCCTTGAATGCCGTGAATGAGGGGTCTCCCCATGATCACGTTGTATGCAGATGGAGCATCTACGACCAAAAATTCGGCCATGATATTCCTAGCTGCTCGGCCTTCGCCGATGGTGACAGGAAGTGTAATCTTCCCGTCAGGATACGAGGAAGAGCCGTTGAATCCAGACACCGGGTAGGGTGCGGGGGCCAGGTGCTCGGCTCCCATCCTCAGCTGGTCGAACGCTCCTCGGAAGAGGATGTTCGCCCCGCTACCGCCGTCGACGAGGGTCCGCCAGACGTTGCGGTTGGCGATGCCCAGAATGATTACTAGTGGGTCATCGTGGGGGTATACCACCCCCTCACAGTCTTCGGCTGTGAACAGGATGTTCGGCGCCGGTGACTGGGACTGCCGAAGCTCAGCCTGATGAATCTGATGGGTTAGACCCCTCAGTTGGCGTTTGGCTGTGCCTCGCGAGATTCCCCCGGAAATAACCAGGATGTCGAGGGACTCCTTGCCCTGAGGTCCCTTATCCTTCTTCCGAGCGAATTTGAGGTCCTGCCGAGAATCTTTTTCAGCTTTTTTCTCCTCGCGCCTGTCCGCGAGGTATTGGCTCAGGTACCCCTTGCGGACCAGATCCTCAATCTGGTCCTTCAGCTGGACGCAGTCCTCGGTGCGATGTCCGGGTGAGTCATGGAACTCGCACCACTGGTCCTTTCCCCTCGTCTGATGCCAGGGAGGCAACGGACGAGGTTTTTTGAATCTCCCCTCGTCCTTCGTCGTGCTGAAAATCTTAGCACGGGGAAGGGAGAGTGGAGTGTATGAATCGTACCTTCCCGTGTAGGGAAAGTGTCTTTCCTTCTTCGGCTCGGCAGCAGAGGACGGTTCTGAGGCCTTAGCCTTCCCTTTCCTCTGCGCCGAGACTTCGGGCTGCTGCCCTTTCGGCTTCTCAATTCTCGGACGAGACTGAGACCTGGATCTGTTCCACTCCTCGGCTCGGATGAACCTATCCGATGCTTCCAAGGCTTCCTCCAGGGTCTGCGGGGGATGCATGACCATGAAGTCCAGGAACTTTCCAGCTTGGAGGCCGTTCCGTAGCGCGAACACGGCCAGGCCTTGATCCAGGCTTGTGATTCCGGATGACTCGTTGCTGAAGCGAGTCAGATAGTCGCGGAGGCTCTCGTCCTCCGCCTGCTGCAGACTCATTAGCTCTGCAGTGGTCTTCTCTCGGCGGTTGGCCGTAGAGAATTTGCTCTTGAACTTGTTGGAGAGGTCGTTCCAACCGGTTATGGAGCCTTCCTTGAGCCCTTTGGTGATCCAGGATTGGGCAACACCTTTGAGGGTCGTAGGAAAGTATTTACACCAGGTAGCCTCAGACCTCGGGTTCAGATACATGTGCCCCTCGTAAGAGGCAATGTGATCCTTAGGATCTGAGGTACCATCGTAAGTAATATGTGCCGGGATTTTGACCGTTGGCACATGCTCTTCCAGAATCCACTTCTGGAAGGGCGAGTTCGATGGAACCATGACCGCCTTCCCCTTGTACCCGGCCTCAGGGACCTCGCTCCCTCCTCTCTCAGAGGTGGAAGTGGTTTTCGTCCCCGGCTGAGACAAGGTTGGGTGGGGTCCGGTATCCTCTGGGAAGGTGAGGCGGCTATGCACACTCACCTCCCTCGAACCCAAGCGTTCGTGAACGCTTTGGCGGGCGAATTCCGGGTCCTTGGAGGGCCCCATGGAATTCTGAGCTTCAGAGTGGTCAGAGGGTTGAGGGTTCCTCCTCCTCTCCTTACTGGAGTTTCGGGTGTCCCCTCGCCACCTCTGGCCGAGCTCTCTATGTGGTGGAACTTGTCCACCATCATCCTGACCGATCCTCCTTTTCAGGTTTCTCGGCTGGTGATCATCAGGCATCTGGATTGGAGCCCCTTGAGCTTTAAGGAACTCCATGCAGATGGCCACTGCTCTGGCCACTTCCTCGGTGGAGGGTCCGGAGGGAGGAGTCTCCCGCGGATGTGACCTGGATTGCACGCTATGGCGCGGCGGGGAGTTCCTCGCACCTGAGCCACTCGGTCTCGGGGATGGCCCCGGCTGCCGAGTGTGGTGCGAGGTGTTCTCCTCCTGGAGGCTAGGACCTCTTGAGGCTTCCCTTTCCGGAGAAATGGGGGCCTCCGATTCGGAAGAGGCTTGCTCCGGGGAGGGATAAACCGGCTGGCGTTCCCTCACCGTAATCCGGCCTCCTCCCTTCTTAGCCTTCTTGGAACTCTTTCCACTCTTAGTCATGGCGACTGCCGGAGTGTTTGATGACTGACGCGAAATTTAGTAGCGTTCCCCACAGACGGCGCCAAATTGTTTCGGATGAAAACAATCGAATCTCGGAAGATCCTTTTATCTTGAGGGAACTTGGTCTCGGTCCGAACGACGCAGGAGCCGAGGGTTTCCTGCACAACAAATACACGTAAACTAGCCTCGGGGGGGACGCCGAGGAAGGCCCCTCCGATGCTTAAGTCAGTATATTAGAGAGAGAAAGCTGTGCAAGAGTTTAGTTGCTTGAGGCTTTATTGTCTTACCAAGAATTGACCAAATTGTTGGCTTTTATACCTTGGCTAATGAAGGAGGCGGATTGGGCCCGGAAGTCAGTTGGGCTGGGCCAAGCTGATTGGGCCGTTGACTGACCTTGACATGGCTTTGAGGATGTTGATTTTTGACTTTAGCACATTTGGAGAGTTGAACCTTAACCTTGGGCTTTTAATTGGATCATTCAGTGACCAGGCCCAATTGGACTAAATTGGACCCAAACAAAAGTTATTGCCGCAATTTATACCATATTTAGGCTATAAGTTTACATATTTTCATCATATAGTTCCTTATATTTTCACTTAATTTGTTTAATTCGATTGATCAAATTGTTTACATCTGCTAGCTCTTTGATGCATGAAAATTAACTACATTGCTCAAATGAGTGATGCTCACTTGAAGCCTACTTACCGCACCAATTAGAACTCCACTATTCTAGCATAAATAAATAATTAATTATGTTATAATTAATAAAGTAACTTTTTATATTGTTGATCTTATTTTTACTTATTTTATTAAAATTAATAGACTAGAATTAACAAGTCAAGATTAGACAAATTCAATAAATTTGTAAACTAAAACCTGGGTTATTAATAAGGAGCTAGTTACCTGATCAAGTTCAATTTACAATGTCCGAGTTAAGCTTTAATAAGACCTTAAAAATGAAACTTAAGTTAACCTGTTCAAACTCAGCTTTAGAGTTTGTTAGAGAAGAACTAGAGAGAAAAAGAGGAGAAAATAGAGAGAGGAAGAAATCAGAATTTATTTCTGTAATAATATGTGTAATGAATGATGATTACAAGGAGCTATAAATACTAAAATAGTACAACAAATTCTGTTACAGATATTTACAAAATATCTACATCTCAACATCCCCCCCTCAAGAATGAACTGGGGATAACAAAACAGGCCATTCTTGAACAGGAATCTGACTAACCAACCCAATCTTCTGGGACAAAAAGCGATGCTGATCTGCTCCCAAAGGTTTTGTCATGATATCTGCCAATTGAAGAGCATATTTGACATGTTTCAATTTAATGAAACCAGACTGAACTTGTTCTCTGATATAATGAACATCAATCTTATGATGTTTGCTCCTTAAGTGCTTTGTTTTCTCATGAAAACAGGGGTTTTCAGCAATGTGCTGAGCTGAAATGTTATCACAATGCAGAACTATAGGAGTTGGGACCTCAATATGCAACTCTGAAAACAAACCTTCAAGCCAAACCACCTCATCTGCAGTTTTACTCATGCTTCTATATTCTGCTTCTATAGAGCTCTTGGACACTACTTTTTGTTTCTTAGTTTTCCAAGAAACTAAAGCATTACCAAGAAACACACAATAGCCTGATAATGATCTTCCTGAATCAACACATGTACCCCAGTCTGCATCACTGTATGCACTTAACACATACTCGGAACTAGCAGGATAAAACAAGCCATGATTAAGAGTCCCTTTAAGGTATTTCAGGACATGTACAACAGTATTCAGATGAGAGGATCTTGGAGCACTTAAGAACTGACTAAGTTGCTGAACCACATAAGAAATATCTGGCCTAGTCATGTTCAAATACAACAATTTCCCAATTATTCTCCTGTAAACCTCTGGATCAGGAAGTAAATCACCATCATCTTGGCTAAGCTTCACACCTCTGCTCATTGGAAAAAGAACAAAATGACAACTTTCCAAATTCTGATCCCTAAGAAGATCCAGAATATACTTCCTCTTATTTAACATTATACCAGCATCAGATCTAGAATTTCAATCCCAAGAAAATATTTCAAATTGCCAAGGTCCTTTACGGTAAAAGCTGTATGTAGATCACCTTCCAACTTTGAAATCAACATACCATCATTACCAGTAATAAGTAGATCATCCACATAAGCAACCACAACCAGAAAAGAATTCTGAGTCTTCAAAACAAACTTGGTATAATCCTGTTTGGACTGCTCAAAAACCCAATTCACCAGAAACTTACTAAGCTCCTTATTCCAACATCTTGAAGCTTGTTTCAAGCCATACAAACTTCTATTTAGTTTGCATACCTGACCTGGTTTTGCCTTAGAATAACCAGGTGGAGGAGTCATATACACCTCTTCTTCCAAGAAACCATGCAAAAAAGCATTATTTATATCTAACTGCTGAATATCCCACTTCTGAACAGCAGCTAATGCCAAAATGACTCTAACAGTTGTAAGTTTAGCCACAGGACTAAAAGTATGCTTATAATCTTTTCCTGAAATTTGCTTGTCTCCCCTAGCAACAACTCTGCCCTTACACCTTTCAACTTCTCCATTAGGATTAAATTTGGTCTTGTAAACCCATTTACAGCCTATAGCTCTCTTTCCAGGTGGCAAATCAGTCAAATCCCAGGTATTATTTGCATCCAAAGCCTCAAGCTCCTTATTCATTGCCTCAATCCATTCTGGATGTTCTTTTGCTTGATTGTAAGAGTAGGGCTCAAAAGCAGTAAGAACATTTGAAAGACTAACCAAAGCATCGCTATGTAAATGAGCCAAAGATGGCTCAGAATACACATTAAAAGAAACAGAATTGTTAGAAACAATTGGCTTAACAGATTTGTGTTTAGGAATTGTAAGAACAAATCATTGAATTTGTTTGGAAGTTTAATAGGTCTAGAAGAAACTCTTGAAGGAACATCTGGAACCACAGAAGAATCAGAAATGGAAGAATCAGAAGAAATAGGAGAAGAAGGAAAAATGGGGGAATGAAGAGAGTGTCCTGATCCAGACTGATCTGACTGTTGTGAAACAGATTGGTCTGGATTGGGATGAAAAGAAGTAGAATTGTCTAGAGCAGGATTAACAAGTGGGAAAGATAAAGGAAGAGAAGAAGAAGAAGACACATCAGAATTCTAAACTGATTGTCTGAATGGAAAAGTAGTCTCATCAAAAAGGACATCTCTACTCAAAACAATTTTATGAGTGTCTAGATCATACAGCTTGTATCCTTTCTGACCAAAAGGGTATCCCAAGAAAATGCATCGTTTTGCCCTTGGTGCAAACTTATCAGAAAGCTTTTGGGCAGGATAACACAAACAACCAAGTATCCTCAGATGACTGTAATCTGGTATTTTACCAAAAAGAACCTCATAAGGAGACTTCCAAGCCAAAACAGAACTAGGCATCAAATTTATCAAATATGTGGCAGCCAATAAGCAATCTCCCCAAAACTTATATGGCAAAGAAGCATGAAACCTTATAGTTCTAGCTGTTTCAAGCAAATGCTTATGTTTCCTCTCCACCCTTCCATTTTGCCGAGGATTTCCAGGAATACTCCTTTGATGAACAATCCCTTTAGAGGCAAAAAGAGTATGACATGCCTCCTGTATGACTTCAGTACCATTATCACTCCTAATCACCTTCACACTTACTCCAAATTGAGTAACAACATATTCCAAAAAAGCAGCAATAGTAGAAGACACTTGAGTCTTAGAATGCAGTAAATGTGTCCAAGTAGTTCTAGAATGGTCATCTAAAATGGTCAGAAAATAGACTGCACCAGTCATAGATGGCCTAGAATATTTACCCCATAAGTCTATGTGCACCAACTCAAAAATAGTAGCAGCATGAAAAACTGAAGACTCATAAGGAAATTTGTGATGTTTGCCCAAAACACACGACTCACAGCTAAAATCACAATTGTCATTAACATTGCCAGGAACTGTTAAATGTTTCATTGTATTAAAAGAGGGATGACCAATTCTAGCATGTATAACACTAGAACTAGGTTTTACAGAAGCTGTAATTGTGTTATTTACTAAGGATGAACAAGAAACAAGAGATTTATTATCAGCCAATTGCATGCCAGGATGATCGCCATTGCTAAGATAATAAGGATCATTAAAGTTATTTCCAGAAGAATTAGTCTGATTGTCTGAATTAGAGATTGAATCGGAAATCGCCATTTCAATCGTAATAAAAAACTCAAACAAAATCAAGAAGAAATCAAAAAAACAATCGAATAATCGAAACGGAAGAAAGAAATTGAAAGAAATTCAATCAAGAATGAAGAAGAATCAAGAAATTCAGAGAAAAATTTCCAGGAAATCGAACGAAAAGCTCTGATACCATGCTCAAACTCAGCTTTAGAGTTTGTTAGAGAAGAACTAGAGAGAGAAAGAGGAGAAAATAGAGAGAGGAAGAAATCAGAATTTATTTCTGTAATAATATGTGTAATGAATGATGATTACAAGGAGCTATAAATACTAAAATAGTACAACAAATTCTGTTACAAATATTTACAAAATATCTACATCTCAACATAACCAGTAGAATTCACTCTGATTAACAGTTGTTATGAATTTTTTTTAAAGATTGTGTTTCAATACAATATATAAATCATTGTAAGTCTGTGTCATCTAAGACAAATCTGTGTAGATTACGTGATTTATCAATAACTATCTCGTCCTTGAATATTTGTATAATGGGAAATAGAAGTTGGAGGGGGTGGAGTAATAACAAGCAAAAGGTATGAAACTACAGGAGGAATTAGGAAAGTGAAGGTAGCGTGTTAATACTAGCAAAAAAATGGGGTCATTTTAATTTGGTACGTTGGCCAAATAAAATGGACCCTTAGGCCTTAACTAGAGAATATGATCATCAAGGGCTTATTGACAATTGGCAACTAATGCTTGTGTGAAGCCAACATAAATTGGGTCTTTTAATTTGGTTTTAGTGAAAATTTTCATGTTTACTATCTCCACCATTAATGTAATTGTCATAGTCAACAAGTAAAGGGAGAAATGGCCCTATATATATGTACTTATCAATTGCAAATTTAATTTGTAATAATCTCGCAATTTTTTTTTAAAAAAAAATCAGGATATTTATTCAATTATTACCATGAATTTTAGAGGTTGGAAATTATTTTGATATGAAGATATTTATTCAATTATTACTAAAAATAGTTGGTCATAAGTTAATTAAATTAGTATATATATATATATATGTGTATTTTGTTTGGTGTGTTGAGGCGGCCATTCATAAATCTCTGTGTTTTTGTATGCACATAAATTAAAGAAGCATTCATGCACAATACTTGTTTACTAATTATAAAGTTTAATTTGTATGGAGTATTATTAATTGATTATTAGCACATATATTAGGTTGCAGAGTATTTATTAGTGTGAAAAATATAAAGTCTGTTAGGACATATGACAAATAAACTATGTGGTTCAATACTTCAATCATACAAATTAAAAATACCTGTACAAAGTTGTTAGCTATGTGAGACAGCGAGGAATAGCTCTAGGAAGACAATGTTCTATTTTTGTTATCTATAGTTTTGTACTCCGTATATATACTCTACCTATTAATAAATGTCACGAAATATTTCCATAGTTTCATTAGAGTGTAGAGTAGAGTATTTATACAAGTGATTAGGGCTCAAGAAATAGGCCCGTTAACTATACAATATAAACACTAATTATAGGCCCTAACACCCCCCCTCAAGTTGGAGCATGCAAATCACAAATGCCCAACTTGCCAAGTAAATACATGAATTGACTTTTACTCAAAGCCTTGGTGAAAATATCCGTTAATTGGTCTGTTGTCTTCACATAAGACGGACTAATGATACCATCCTGAATCGCATCACGAAGATAATAACAATCAACCTCAATGTGCTTGGTACGCTAATGGAAAACCGGATTCTTCGCAATATACAAAGCAGATTGATTATCACAAAACAAACTCATAGCACGGGGATGCGAGACACCCAAACTCAGAAGAAGGGCCTTTAACCATTTCAACTCATCAGTAGTTTTAGACATTGAGCGGAATTCGGCCTCTGAAGAAGACTTGGCCACAGTGTTCTGTTTCTTAGTCTTCCAAGATATAGGAGAAGCACCAAGAAACACCAACCAGCCAGAGATAGAACGGCGCGACAAGGGACAACCTGACCTGGACATCCCTGACCTGAACATCCCTTCAAGTACCAACCAACCATCATGTAATATGTAAATCACAATCTGAACTCAAAAGGATTCCCTGACCTGGACATCCCTTCAAGTACCGCACTGTACGAAGAGCCGCTTCCCAATGGTCCTGTCGCGGTTGTTGCATAAATTGAGACAAAATATGCACCACGTATGCCAAATCCGGTCTAGTAAAAGACAAATAAATCAGACGACCCACAAGTCGTCGATACTGCTCTGGATCAGAAAAGAAAGAGGACTCTGATTTCGCCAGAGTATGATTCTGCTCAATAGGAGTTCCTGCCGGACGAGCACCTAGCAAACCAGACTCTGCAATAATGTCAAGTGTATATTTCCGTTTACATAAAAATATGCCTTCCGGACTACGAGCAACCTCAACACCAAGAAAATACTTCAAAACACCCAAATCTTTCATATGAAAACAGTCACTCAAGTATGACTTGAATGTTGAAATCGCAGAAGAATCATTACCAGAAATTATCAAATCATCAACATACACCAGAACACTAAGTTGTATAGACCCAGATTGCAGAGTAAAAAGAGAATAGTCAGAGTACGATTGCACAAATCCGTACCTTTTCAGAGAGGCAACCAATTTAGAATACCAACAACGAGGTGCTTGTCGAAGACCATACAACGACTTCAGAAGACGACACACCATACCAGGTTGAGAGCCATGAAACCCAGGGGGAAGCTTCATATAAACTTCCTCATCAAGATCACCATGAAGAAATGCATTGTGAACATCCATCTGATGCAATTCCCAATTCTTTGCAGC